TCCCCAGACGACGAGCCGCCAGACGAGCTGGACTCCTCAGAGGCATTCTTGGCAGTCGCCTCCTTCTCGGCCGCCTCCTGAGCCTCCTAAAGGAGACGGACATTAAACTCGTCATTTTCCTTATCAAACTGGACCTTCCAGGTTTTATAATCGATAACTTGACCTTCCAGGTTTTATAATCGATAGACGGCCGAGCAGCCGCCCAGGCCGCACGCATGATGACCTCAATATTGTCTATCATTTGTTTGATCAGGGCTTGTTTCTCCTCCTCCATCAAGGACCTATACTTGGTCCGGAGTTGGTTCTCCTGGTTGCTCAGCCGTCCTCTAAGTCTCTTGATCGTCGCGTCCAGGCTAGCCGCTTTGGACTCTGCCTCCTTGAGGTTACCCAGCTTCTCGTTAAGGCCCTTGACCTAATCTTGGAGCTCTTTCACTCGCTGCTTGGTTGCGTCGAAGTTCTGCTGAACTTGTATGTTGGAAAACGCCTAGGAATACAACATATCAAGTATCAGAATCTCATTTTGAGCAATCTCAAACTAAGCTTTGTCAAGAGTAGAGGCGGCCCGAGAATTCGCTACCTTTACCTCCTCGGTCTTCTCATTAAGGGGCCCTTTGAGACCACTCACGCGCAGCATAGCCTACAGGCGTCCAAACCAAAGAAACTTGTCAGTAACCATTCGACAAAAATATGTAAATTAGAAAAGTTGAGGGAAATTGTACCTCGCAAAGAAGCTCTAAAATGTTGTCTAGGTCAAGAGTGCCGACCCCCCTGACGGCTGCCTTGTCCTCAGGATCAAGCGCCCTAAACATCCGTCTGGCCATTTGGAGGACTGTTGGCCTCGCTGGGGCATGTATCAAACAGATACAACTAAATCAAGACTGAATAGAATGACCTTGTATAAAGTGCATGTTCGAATGGTCGGATGGCCTACCTCCTTCTCCCCCGGCAGCTTCGCTACCGCCTGCTGTGCCGCCAGCAGTGGTGAGTGGATGTTTGCCACTCTTCGACACTCGTTGTTGAGCGTTCGACTTTAAAGGAGTCTTGGTGGGGGAGGAGGCGCCTGTCCCTTTCTTAACAGGCTTTGTGGCGACGTGCTTCCTCTAACTCTAGGAAACGTCACTAGTCGATTGCTTTCGCAGCTTGGTATCCGATTGAGAAGAGGGGGGAGGCTTTGATGAAACACTCTGAAAAGAATTCTAAGAGTGAGTCAGCAACATAAAATGTTCCACATCTCTTTAAGCTAAAACCTTGCAAGCCCGTTACCTTAGGAGTGCCGCCTGGAGGCTGCTCATCAGCCTGCTTTAGGTTTGAGCGGTAGAAGGCAGCTAAGAGGACTGGTCTCTTGTAGGCAGGGAGCTTTGCCATTGCCTTATCTACAACAAGAAACCAAGAGTTAGCAAAGAAACAAATAATCAAAAGCAAGAAAATTTAATAATATCATGCGGCTAGCTACCTCTCGGCATCTCAGTACTAAGCCCGCAGGCGGCCAAGTACGTCCCGTCCGAGACCCACTCGAATCGGGGAATATAGCTTTGGGGGGTGACCTCCTTTACCCCCGTTTCTTTGTTTGTTTGGACGGCCACAAAAAAGAGGCCACGTTCGAAAATTTCCTCTTGGGCCCACCTATTAACAGACGGAAGAGCCTTTTTCCCAGCCAATAGGCGAGGATACTGAGTTCAGCGGTTGTACCGCCTGTTCCTTTAAGTGTTTGGGGAAAAGACTATGTAAAACTTGGTTCGCTAGTCTTTCCACTTGTTCTCTTTCCCCAGCGTCATCATGTACCGGGTGTGGCTTGTCAAAGTAAACCAGCCGACCCCACTTGGATTGGGCATCCTACTCAGATAGTGCATGTGAGCAAACGCCTTGAAGTTGGGATCCGCCTATAATTTCGCAGGCGGCAACGTAGCCCAAGATATTTACCCAAGAATTGGGGGCTAGTCGCCATATACCTAGTTGGTATCCGTCCACGATCTTCTCCACGGCCGGATGGAGAGGAAAGCGAAGTCCTACCTAGATGGCTGCCTCATAGCATCTAAAGCACTGGTCACCATAAACAGCCATCTTTTGATCTAGGGGACTGCCGACTTTGCCAGTAGTGTCCTCCCCCAGCTCATCATCCGGCACCGATCCACTCGGCCCGGGGTTCTTAAATTCCTTGTTGCACTCCTCCAAAAATGAGTAATTTGGAGTGCAGACGGTGCTAGGCGGGTCTCCACAAAACTCATAAACAGGCACCCTAATGGAGCCATCGAAATTGAAAGTCTCACTGTCCGAATGGAAAAAGAAACCATCCGCCCTATATCTCCTTGTTGTTTGCTTTGTTCTGGCCATCGTGTCCTGCAGAGGCACAGACACTGTCGGATTTGGAGATGTACTTAAAGCAAAGTTCTCGAACGAGCATTCGGCACTCCTAGTTCTAGATTCAGCCGTCCCCGGTGACCGGTTGATCGCTAACCTAGGCCGTTCCGGGTGCGTTTGAGAAACCATTTTGATAAAGAAAAATGCAAAAAAAAAAAGTAAAAAGAGATCAGGCGGTTACCTTAGAAGAAGGTAACGAGAGTTGTCGGTCTTGGGCGGTTGTTGAAGCAAGCGAACTAAGAGGGTCGGCTGCCGGATGCCCTGGAAGGTCAAAGTCTTTGAAATTCAGAAGATTCAAGATTCCTTTGAAGATTCACGTAAATGTGAATCCAAGAGGAAGTCAAACCTTTCTATTTATAGGGGGGTGAAAACCTTGAGGTTAAAACCTTAAATTCTCCCAACAGTAAAAAGTAATGACTCGACCAATCAAAGGTCGACACCTGTCACAGGCGTCATGTGCGATGCACGTGACCCTTGTGAGGGGAAAATGATTTGGATATTTTTATGCCCGACCAAGTGGCCTAATCGGAGCCTGCCACGTGTCACTGGAAGAAGCGTCACCTCGGACCTTCCAAGATGGTGACACGTGGTAGGCAAATATCCCCTTAATTATGGATGTTTGATGATCCATAGTGGACCATTAGAAGGGCGGAACGAGTCACCCTAAGAGACTCCCAAATGGCCTTTTAGGATCAGTGACACGTGTCACTCGGATATCACCTCTGAAATGGCGACCTTCATGGGCCCAAACCTTGAGGCGTCATTTTGCGGCGTGCCCTAATCCCTAGGTCACCAGACCCTAGGGAGGGAACACTTTCCCAAAAGACCCTATAAATAGGGACAGTTCGCTCATTTATGAGGGACGTGACATACACATTCAATACAGAGCTGTCGTTCTCCGGAAACAGACAACACTTTACCCGAGCTTGGAATCCGAGAAGATAACTTTATTTCCGCACGTTTTACTCCGAATACTTTACTAACTTAATCTTCGGAGGTGGACCACCGACCATCCGACGGACCTTTTGCTTTGCAGGTATAGGCGCCCCTTGCTGGATCCAGTCTTAGTGTTGTAACTCTCCCGAGGGACAAAAAACCCCGAAACACTCTCTACCCATAATCTTTGTTTTTATTTTCTTTCTTTGTGATTGCTACTTGTAATCTTTGTGGTTACACCTTAATCCTAACTTTACTTTGTGTTAGCTTTGATTTAAGAGCCCCTATTTCATGTATCTTGCGAATTGTTGATATAGGTTTATTTTATTTTGTTGATTTGAAATTGTTGTTACTTATTTTTCCCCCTTTTTCTTGGTTTTTTTTGTTATTTCATAGCATTTACCACTGAGAAATTATAAAAGTTTGTGATTACCCGAGAGAATTTCCCAAAAATATAAAAAAAAAAAGTTAAATCAAATAACAAAAAAACCACCACCATCTAAGTTTTAGCCAACACCACCACCCAAACCCAAATCCCAGAACCACCACTGCCACCAAAATAGACCATAACCAACCCATGAACCATCGCCACCACACCAAACCCGAAACCAGACCCTGAAAGTCAGGAACCACTACCACCAAACCAGCCCCAACCAAGCCACCCCCAACCAAGCCACCCCAAAATCCCTTTCAAAAAATTAAAAACCCACCAAATCTGACCCCATGACACCGGTTAGGAGGTCAATGCGGCCAGAATCAACGTCGGGGGTAGGACGACACATTCAGAATGGGGGACAAGGAGGTCAGCGTGGCCTATAAAGGGACAGGGGACGAGGAAGGGGCTAGGACTAGGACGAGAAAGGGGTTTTTGAGGGTAGGGGGAAGCCGCATGAGAGAGGGAGGGAGGGGATTAGTGGTTCAGGGGAGGGGATCGGTCGCGATGCCGATGCAGGAGTTGTTGTTAGGGGCTGAGTGGCCGGAGCCACGAGAAGGAACGGGCACCGGCTGGTGGGTTGTGGGTGATTTTTAAATTTTTTTTCTTTTAAAAAATCTACTCCCTCTGTCCCCATTTGATTACCACTTTTGATAAAAAAAATCACAGAAGTTAAGGAGAAATTAAGGAAGTACATGGAAACTAAAACCCAATCACATAAAAAAAAAAAAAAAAAAGAAGAGAGAGAAAGTAATCCATGTGATTTATTAAACAACCAATGAAAACCAAGAACCACATTAGATATCCATGTGATTTATTTTTAACCAATAACATTATAAGAAATAATTACATCACCCAATAAAATTACATTACACATATTGATGACTAGAAGAAGTACTAAAGGAGGTTAGTTATGTATATAAATATATATAACATGGCATTGCTGTAAATAAATAGCAACTATTATTGTAACAGGTTTGCAATTTGGAGGGAAAATGTAATTATATAGTAAAACTTGTAACGGTGTGGGACCATTTGATGGATTAAAAAAATATGTTGAGTAACCCCACTTTACATATCTTTCTTTTTGGTCTGACTGGAACATTCCATTCATCCCCACCAAAATTTGTTCTGTGTTCGTTCTTTTGTTCAAATTGACTTCGTCCCTTAGTTTGGAAACAAGGCAAGGTTCCTCAATTTTGGGGAACCTGCCACATTTTTTGGTGTAGTCTTCGCTACAATTTAATGAATTGGATGAGGTAGCACATGGATGATGGAGTATTTGGAAAAAACTAAGGACCTTGAAAAGTACCATGGTGGTGAGTATAGAGTCAGCCTTGATGCCAAAGCCGTTGACGGGGCCGTAGTTATTGATGAGGACGTGGGTGATGGTGGTGCTGCGGCGTTGGAGGCCTTGTTAAATCAGGTAAGGAATTTGTGATTTTTGTTTTAAATTAGGGTTTTGTAATTCGTAGGAGTAATGGTTGAAAATTAAATATTTGCCTTTTAAATTATTGAAATTATGTAAATAGGGTGTTTAAAATTGTGGGTTGATTGTTGTATGTGATATATTTGTCATTTTCAGATAGATAGTGGAAGTAAGAGAGAAATTTGGTGTTGACATAGGGTGATTCTTCGTATATGTATATGATTCTCAATCCTATTTAACTTAGTTTTTTGAATTTTTTGCATAGTATATTGTATGTTGATGACTGTTTTGTAGAAGGTTGTGAATTATTGTTGTTTAGAAAATTGGTAAATTGTTGTTAAAAATGTATAAATTGTTGGTATAAATTGGTAAATTGAGGTGAGATTGATGGTTGGTGTATGAATTGTGTAATGTAGGTTGTTGTTGGGGAGGAGTCTTTTAGGACTCCAAAGAAAGGTAAGAGCAATGTTTAAGTTAGTGTTGAGATAGAAGAGCCTGTGGAATTGGAGTTGGATGTACCTCTCATGCCTCATGTTGTAGGAATGGTGTTTGGTTCTATGTTGGAGGTTGATGAGTATTTTCGTAATTATGTCCAGCAGCAGGGGTTTGGTGTTGTGAGGGCTAGTGGGGCTAAGTCTGGAAAAGGTATGAAGCGTAATTGTAGGTGGACTCGTGAATTTTTTGGTAAGACTGTGCGGAAGAGGAAAAAGCCTGAACCGAGGTTGGTGTCTAATGCTCAGATCAGTGAAGATGAAGACTTGTGTCCTAAACGCAAGTCGAAGAAATGTGATTGCATTGTGTTTCTATATGCCAAGGTCAATAAGTCTGGGAAATGGGTTATTGATCAGGCCCATTTGACACATGTTGGGCATAATCCTACTCCTGGAAAATCAAAGAACATTAGTAGGTTTAGGAAGAAATTTTTGGTGGATAATCCTCATCTTGTGCGGCAGTTGTTTATTGAACGTAAGGATGGGGTTCCTGTGGCTAATATATATAGAAGTATGGCAAAGAAGAGGAATGGGTTGGAGGATATGCCGTTTGAGCAGAAGGATTTACATGCTGAAGTTGCGAAGCAGAAGAAACTTGTGTTTGAACAAGGGGATGCAAAATTTATGTTTAACTACTTTAAGAGGATAGTTAAGGACAATGATAAATTCTTTCATACATATCGAGTTGATGAAGATGGTCGGTTGAAAGATGTGCTATGGGTTGATGCTAGGAGTAGGGCGGCGTACGAGGAGTTTGGTGACGTCGTTGGTTTTTATTCTAGGTACTTGACTAACGAGTATAAGCTTCCTTTCTACAATTTTGTTGGTGTCAACCACCATGGGCAGACCATTCTACTTGGTTGTGCTCTTGTTAGTCGTGAGACTACCGAGACATTTGAATGGGTATTTTCAAGTTGGCTTAGATGTATGGGTGATAAAGCTCCTATTGGGATTCTAACGGACCAAGATCCGGCAATGAGGAAGGCTTTGAAGGCGGTTATGAAGGGTACGACGCATAGATGGTGTATTTGGCACATTCTCAACAAGTTCTCTCAGAAGTTAGGCAAGCGCGTTTATTACCCTGAGTTGAAGGAGGGACTGCACCGAGCTGTCTATAACAGCCTTGACTGTTAGGAATTCGAACAACGGTGGCCTGAGGTAATTAAGAAGTATGAAGCTGATGATGATGAGTGGCTGGCAGGTATGGTCTTAAACTGATTGTCTTTAATTTTGTCTTGTAGCTGTTTTATTTATTTCTCTTGCCTTTTAATGTTGATTTTGGTGGTGATTGATTTTGGGTGGTGTGTTATATTGATTGGGTTTAGGATGAAATATAGACTACTATATAATTTTGTGTTCTTTTTTTTCCTGGTAAATATTTACTTGGTTCAATGACCCCTCATTATGATTATTTCTGATTGGGTGTAAGGCTACAATGGTGTATGTTAGGGTTGTTTGAAGAAAGGGCTATGTGGGTTCCCGCTTTTGTGAAACATTTGTTCTGGGTAGGGATGAAAACCACTCAGAGGGTAGAAAGTGTTCATAGATTTTTTGATGGATATTTGAGCAAGCACACCTTGTTACATGAATTCGTGGAGCGGTATGAAGAAGCCCTCTCGGTTAGAGCAACAACAGAAAACAAGACTGATGACAACAATGCTAGATATGTGAGGAAGGCGTGCACCGACTTTCCTGCGGAGCTACTCTTCCAAAAGATTTACACTGATGAAAAATTCAAAGAAGTTCAGCATGAATGTACACGTATGATGTATGTTAGTGAAATTGAGAGAAGACAAGTTTCTGAGCAGGTGCTTGAGCATGTAATTGAGGACAGAATTTGGTACAAGCCCCAAAATTCAAATAAAGAGATATCGTCTAAGCGTAAGCGGAGATATGTGGTTACTTTTGACATTGTAACCAAGGATTCTTGTTGTGAATGTAAGCACTTCAACTGTCACGGAATTATCTGTCGTCACATAATTCAGGTCTATGAGTTGCATGACCACTTGGATATTCCAGACAAGTTCATCTTGAAGCGGTGGAGGAAAGATGTGATAAGGCCGTACACCCGTGTCAAGGTTGGTTATCATGATCCAAGTAAGACAGAGGAGGTTTGTAGGTTTGATAAGATGATGGTTAAGATTAATTGTGTTTGCTCTAAGTCGTCCTTCCGCAAAGAAACAACCAAACTTTTTCTTGATACGCTTCAGTTACTTGAGATTCAAGTAAAGTAGATGGTGGGCATGATTAACAAAAAGGATGAGAACAATGGTTGCTGTGAAAATGGAACACCCGTTACCCCATCCACCCAGAGGCAAGGAAGTTGTTTGAAGATACTCAAAGATCCTCCTATACCGAAAAAGCCACCTCATTGAACAACAGATGTCCGATTCCCATCCTGTATTGAGAAGAAGAAGAAGAGTGGAAGGAGTAACAATACTCGAAAGACTACTAGCCAAAAAAAAGTTGTACAACAACAATTTAGCACTCCGTCCAACAACCAAGTGCCTATTCTCCCTATTCTTCATTTATTTTTGTTATATTTTTTCTGTTAATCGACCTTGCATGTCAAATGAATTTGAACTTTTGTTGTCCATGGGGCAGGGTTTTTACTTCCCATATAGCCCCCAATCTGTAGGAGGTATTCAGATGGTTGATGGTGATGGTTCTAGTGGCTACTTCATTGGTGTTTCCGGAGGCCAGATTGGTGCAGGTCATATTGCAGGGTCTGAGACTGATCGTTAAGCCCCGTATCGGCCCAATTTTTTCCTTATTTCTACACCCAATATAGGTTTATGAATGCAGGTAATGTAGGGGCAGCAATTCCCAACTCCCCTCCCACCCCTCGGTCCTCAACTTGTTCCGTAGCTGGTGGGAGGCCTATGTTCAGAACAATTGTTCCAAAACCCCCAACGCCAACGTCTACCCAAGGTTGTTATCAAAAAGCTGCTACTCAACTACAGTTTTCCCAACATGGTAACCAACAATCTCAAACGTAACCACCCCCTTCCACATTTAACCCGGGCACTATGCAGTAGGTCGTAGCAGTTGTGAATACGGTGAACTAAATATGTGATGTTCGCCCTTTTTGGAAGCGTAAATGATGAACTAACAAACTAATTGATTACTTTTGACTCTTAGGACAGGTGAATTGATGGACAGGTGAATTGAACGAGTACCTAGGAATATTTTTTGTAAAGAAAACATTTATGTAAACAGGAAAATGTCCTATTGGTTGCCCAACATTTTAAATGTTAGATTGTGTTGGTATTTTTGTGTACATATCAAACCACTTATGATATATATTGTCTCGTTAAGTATTGTTCCTTAATTTGTTGTGTACGCCCCTTTATTTTATTTCATGTGACAAATTCCTCTTTCACAGTAACTATTAGTATCATAATTTCCTTACTGCATTGCAATGTCACGATCACATAAATTCTGCTTGCATAAACTTTCTTTAATATTGGGTGCAGACTCATATTACAACACAAATGAATTTGTATTGAGTGAGTCCTGACTAGGTTGTATCATTTTTAACCCCAGTAATGAGGTAAGTAATCGTAATGGAATACAACTCCTAATGAAATTAAGCACACTGGGAAGGACTTAGTTGTAACTTGATGCCTTGTTAATGCGTACTACTTACAAGAATAAAGTACCATTGGAGGCTACATTGGTTTCAGTCATCAGTTTTGCATTAGTGATCCATTCATAAAACTACTGCAACACTACTGAAACTACTGCAACACTACTAAGCTAAAAGAGCCATGGTAGTGATACTACTACTTCATTTAATAATAACTTTTACATTTTAGTGAATGAGGACATAGGTTTCATCTAAAATACATTTCATTACACTGAATTGCTTATACATTGTATTGGAAGTCATTGTGAAAATAAATTCACTGGGACATTTTATGGTACAGTTTGAAGGTCCAAGGGTTTAGTTGATTATGATTACAAAGATTAAGGGTAATAATTACTGTTTATTATATTACTAGTTTTATGCCCCGGCGATGCCCATGTAGTTTGTGGACTTCTAAGATTAAATTATATTATTACAATTCAATTTGAATGAAAATAGATTTCTATATTAACTATATTTGCTACAAAGTCAATCTTTATTTATCCAACGTGGTACGCTACTTGGCAAAAAATTAAAACAGCACATGACGTTGAGTTGTGGCCTAATTATAAATTTATTATTTGGTCTTTCATCGAACAAATAATTCTAAACTAATAACATAATTCTACAATTTGATTGATAAAAGAATTCTTATATATTTTTATTTATCTAAATAACTTTATCGATGGTGGCGCGACACTTGACGTTTTTTTTTATCAAATGAAGTCTATTTAAATATACCTAAGGTGGCGCGACAGCTGGCGAAAACACGACAGGTGGCGAAAAGTAGGAATTTGGATGTCGCTAATTCGTGACTTGGATAAAAGTTTAGCTTTATATATGAGTTATATGATTAGAATAGAGTAAGTACTTGTCTCGTAGTGTCAGGTAATTGTACACCTCTACTACTTTTATAACATGTATACTTATTAGCTTGCTATTTTTGTTCTTTGTGTAGCTTCCATTTGACTGATAGTGATAGAGCCACCAGACACCTTGTTATCCATTTCAATCTAAACTGTGTAGTAAGTATGTCTTGATAATATCGACATACCTACTTACGAAGTGTCATTTTTGAATTCTCCTAATTTAGATGCATTATCCTCTTTATGTATTTTTTTTTCTTAAATTGTTCATTTTAGATGTTTACCCTAAACAACTTAACACAAATGGTTTACACCCACTTGTACTCCTTTAGAAGAATCAATTCCTTATTAATTGCATACTCTCATTACACATGAAATGGTTCAATTGCATTGACATTTTGTCCCAGTGAGTAATATTTAATAACATTTATTTTTGTAAAATTTTATTACTACTCTATTTTGGGTAGATGGTGCCAAAATTGATTGCAAATGGTATTCCCTATTCCTCGTCCTTTTCTTCACTTATTCATTTTATAAGTAACTGCACCTTATTTTTAAACTACTGAGGTTTATAATGTGTAAACTGACTCATTCAATGGTTTAACTGAGATAATTAAAATAACTCGATCGCATATATTATTTGTTCAGTTTAATGAGGTCACTTATGTAACTGTGAGAAATTTTAATAGTTCTGGATGGATTTTTTATACATCTAAAACTGTATAGGGTATAACTGTGTTAACATGAGTTGGTTAGTTATATGAGTTTCTGTTTTAATTGAGCATAAAAGTTGCTTAATCTATACACATAAATGGTGTAGCTGCGTAACTTAAAAGTGCTATTACACAGTTTGATAATTTGGACCTGGCCTACTTTGCATTGAAAAATTGGGTTTCCTTGAAGGCGGGAATAATTCCATTATATTCCCTCTACATTACTGCTATAAATGAAGGTGAGTCTCCTTGAACGTATAGAAATAGAAATCTACTTTGGCATGTCTTCAAACTCTTCAAGTTCTCGTTTACCTCGTCGTTTTTTTTCACAACCTAATTCAAATGTCTTATGGGTTGCTGCCAGGAATTGCAATTGCGGAGGACAGTCACTAGCCGAGTTTCGGATTTCGATGTCTGAATTCAATCCTCACCGGCCGTATTACAAGTGCCGCTCATGCAACTTCTAGCAGTGGGCAAATGAGGTAGATTTCATCCGCAGCCATAACAACAACGGGATGGGTTTACTCTGAGAAAGGGTTGAAAATTTGGAACGTCTCGCATTCAAGATTATCAAGATTTTGGTAGTTATATGCTTGCTTTCTTTGTTGATGAAATATAAGTGATCAAGTTTATTATGTTTTATTTCTGATATTAATGTTGCAAGTGAAGTTGTATTAGATTTAGTAGTTTTGCAATTAGTACATTGTCCTTATATTGTACTCGGATTGGGAATAAATATTGACAATATAAACACCGTAGCCATTCAAAGTACACAACACCATCAAGGTTTTTCATACTCCAACACCACAAACAAGTCTTACATACATATTATAAAAGGAGGTACATAAACCCAATCTAGTCTTAACTAAAACATCTGAAACACAGTACTTAAAAACATCTTCATACTACGAATAACTTGATAATAGCCGAATAGTGAAAAGTTAATCCAAAAACAAAGCCAGCCACCATCTTCAAGGCGTCAGATGGTCGTTCAAGTCATGGACTGTGGTTTCATCTTGTCCAACTCCACCGTAGTCACCACTCGTTGATGGAGAGGCTGGTTTTGGTGACAGTGTAAGATGATCATTCCAGCCATGGACTGAGGGATCATCCATCGGGTCACCTCCTGAATAAGGCGAATAGGGCGATGGTGGGGTCAGGGTCCTTCCTCCCCTTGTCACTAACTAGGTTACCATAACAATTACATCTCCATTTGATTAGTCATTAAAAATAAACAAAAGATAAACAACAAAAATAAACCTTCATGTGTTACACCAAACCATACTTATAATTACAATATTTACTTTCATAAAAAAAAATTTCACTAAGAAGGTTAAATTTAGGGTTAATTTAGGGACTGATTAATAACATTAGCATTAATATATAGCATTTAGAGGAATTGAAATTTGTTTGATGATCTGGTAAAGTTTGGACCTTTTTGTCCAAGAAAGACTCATTACCTCAATCTCGACACCAAGATGATGGCCAAAGTAAGAATTCCCTCTCTTAGTAACCCATAAGCACAATTCCTTCTTATCCCAAATGAGAAGCACGTCACTATACCCGTTATGGCCTCCAAATCCTTCAACGTCGTACACACCTCGTAGCTGGAACTTCAAGTATTCTAGTGTTGACTGGTCAAACCGAGCTTCAGTCACCACGACTAGAACTAGGGCGTAACAACAAAATAGCTCATCGAACGTCTCCACAAATGAAGGCCTGTGAACATTCCTTGCATTCCAAACGATGACATTGGACCCAAAAGGTAAGTAACAATGGCTTGATTCAACATTAGTCTCAAAGCCTTGAAATGAAACACGAGAGTACTTCACCTTCCTTTTCTCTATTATACAACAATGCACATTCACATGAAGAGCTTTGAGTAAATTGTGCACCTCCATAACATGAATAGCTGCGGTTTTTGCACCAAGGAACACATGCCTTTCTTGTAAAGGGAAGTTGTAGATCGGGAGTTTGCCGGGGTCAACCAAAGGCTTCAGATCAAAGATTGGCACAATATCCTTGGGGATGAACTTGTTCTCATTAGTACTTGAGTTTTTACATAGCCATATTGCAAAAGGGCCAACACCCTTGTGGAGATAGCCTTCCAAATCTCAAAGATCTGGGTAATATGTTGGTCGAATTTTCCTTTCAGCCACTTCCATCAAGCTTTTGGGTATGTAAGAAGTGGTCATCAACAAAGAGTTGGACATCTTGTCTCGGAGGAAGCTAGGAGGAATGCAAACACCTTCCTCGAAATGAAAATGGTTTGCAAACTAGGGTGTGGAGTTGAAATCAAGTTCGGGGTTGTTGTGGTGTTGAAAGGCTTGAAGTACATCAATGGAGTGGTAGGGTGCTCAACAGTGTACTTTCCCCAAGCACCCATAACATAAGTCGTTTTATTTCCAGAAGTATTCATTTTGGCGAATTTTTGGGTTCAACTACTTATGGATGAAGATTAAAGGTCTTTGAAGTAGGTAAGTGAGGGAATTATGAGGTAGGAAGATGAAAAGAATTAAAAAGGAAGTAAAGAGAATT